CGCGTCTCGCAGTGGAGGACGTATGTTGAGCCGGGGATTCCGGATGGGGAGAGCACAATTGGGCATGCATAGTCAGAGGAACTGTGTTGGTGACTTTGGATATCGGAGCTGTTTGTAGCGAGTATGTCTAGTATGTACATTGTACTGTTGATCTGCTCGGTCAAGTAGCGTGTAAATAAGTGCGCATGGAACGAGGTTGATTTGAGGTGTACCTTGTCTTACTCTGTGTATACGCACGGAATAAGTGAAAATGGGAACTTATTATTGAAACGAGAATTACGATGTGCATTTCAGAGAGAGGGAGAGAAGGGGGGGAGCAACGCGGGGATACATGTACACATGTAATTATAATGTACCTACATCCGGGCTCACGAGTTCTTGGCGATCGTTTTCAATCTCGAGTCTGGTCTGGCCCATTTCTAGTCCTCACTTTGGATACAGACTACAGTACATAATCTGCACTTGCAACCGATAGCCACAACTCACAAATATCAATGACAAAGTGATTTCCGAGTTACACATGTACATAGGTATGTACATACATATGTACATGTACGGAGTACATACTGCACCTCCGCCCCGCTTCACGGCTGTCGGCCCCCTTCCCCATTCGGCAGGAGCGGGGTACATACATACGGCATGTGAGCCCGTCTCTTGCAGGTGCCCTGTTCGCTCCTTCAAGCTTGTTAGAATTGATCATCTCGCGCGCAGCCCCTTTTCCGGCGTCGCCATGGGAGCATTAATACACCAAGCCCGCTGTCGGAAATAGGCTTTGCCTTACTGCTCTTGTCGTTTCCTTTTTTTCCGATTAGGTACCCACGTTGCATGCGCTCGGACCTTGCTGTACCACGTGGCCGAGGATGCTGGCAAGACAGCTGACATCATAACCTGCTTGCGACAACCCCCGTGCTCTCTCTCTCTCGTGTTCTCTATTCCATCCATCTCTCACGACGCCCCTTGGGGCCGAAGAGTTCTGGAAACATGCTGCTCCTGCATCAAGTCGGCAGTGTCAAGGTCGGCGAGGTGGTCCGGTACAGCCTCACGTACACGCCCTCGCAAGATCGAATTCTCCCCTCCCCCGAAAAACTACATGTTCGAATTCGAAATACCTCGACCATCGCCCTTCGCGCTGCCTTTGTCCATGGGCCATATACCCTGTCCGTTTCGGCGTATCCTTCTCACTTCAACCCCAACGAAAAGTTCACCAATCCTCGCCGGTATGGAGCCCCTCGGTTCGAGCCCATGCTTAAGGCGGGGGGGTCCTGGGAGTGCGAGCTGATCGTCCCGGACAACATTCGACAAGACGCCGGCATTGGAAGCAACAAAACCTTTGGAAAGGGTCCCGAACACGATGGAGAATGCGCGAATTGGGTGATTGAAATAGCATCCCAGGTCATATTCTCTAACTCAGCTGCCGTGGGCTTCGATGTCGTCGTGGCGCGCGATCATAAATCTCTCAACCTCAGCCAGTCGCTATCGTCGATTGGGGGCAACTTCAGCCAAGTGCCGCAGCCCGGAAAACTGATCGATCACCGGCAAAGTGTCGGTGCCAAGGATGAGCACCATCCCGGTCAGCCAAAGGGTGTCTTCTCAAGGGCCATACAGCTCAAGGTGGAGGATTCCGCGACGCTTTGGAACACCCCGAGCTTTCCCGGCTGGGATGATGACGCTGGAAATAAGAGCGCCGGAAAGGAAGCCGGTGCTAATCAACCTGTGGAGAACGTGGTGAACACTGGTGATCCAGAGATCGAGGAGCTGAAACAACCGAAAACGTCACACGTGAAGAAGAAAAAGGTTCATCTTGTCATATTGACGCATGGTCTGCACAGCAATTTAGGCGCCGACATGCTCTACATGAAAGAAAGCATTGATGCGGCCGCTAGGCAAGCACGCATTGATGCGAAGGCTAGAAGGGCAAATGAGAGAGCTGCAATAAGGTCAAGGGCCAATAAACAACCTGATGGCTCGATGAACGAGGACTTGCCGCCTAAAGAAGGCCAGGATGGCATCGCAAATGCTGTGGACGACGACGACGACGACGACGATGATTATGAGGAAGTCATCGTGCGTGGATACCCTGGAAACGCTACAAAGACAGAGAAAGGAATCAAGTACCTTGGGAAGAGATTATCGCGGTATATTCTATCAATGACGTACCCAGACCAACCATTTCTTCCGATTACGAAAGGTACTCTGAAAGGCGGCGCCGGTGAGGGTGCTGTTGAAGCCCTGACAGGTGATCACCATCATCACCACCATGATCTTCATCCTCATCATCTCTTCCACCAGGACCAGCCACACCCAAACGACACTCACGAGGTGAAACAAGCGCATAAGAATAGTGACATTCAAGCCGATACTACCAAGGCAAAGCATGATAAACACTGCAGAAGTTACCAGATCACAAGCATAAGTTTCGTCGGACACTCTCTCGGCGGCCTGATTCAAACATACGCTATTGCTTACATACAAAAACATTCGCCCAAGTTCTTCGATCTAATTCAGCCCGTAAATTTCATTGCGATGGCGACCCCTTTTCTGGGGTTAAGCAACGAGAACCCGCTTTATGTCAAGTTCGCCCTCGACTTTGGACTCGTGGGCAGGACCGGGCAAGATCTTGGCTTGACCTGGAGAGCGCCTACCATTGCCCGGATTGGATGGGGCGCTCTTGTCAGCAACCTCGGCGATTCGGCGCATAAGAAGGTGTACGGCGAATCACAGCCAGAGTCGAAACCGCTGTTACGAATACTGCCCACCGGCCCGGCTCACACGGCTCTGAAGAAGTTTAGAAACCGCACAGTCTACTCCAATGTGGTCAATGACGGAATCGTGCCGCTCCGCACAAGCTGTCTCCTGTTTCTAGACTGGCAGGGTCTTGGCCGCGTTGAAAAGGCTCGGAGAGATGCCGGCTTGGTAGAAACGGTCGTAGGGTTTGGGTGGGCAGAACTGACCGGCACGAACATGGCGTCATCGAGGCGCAGGAAGCAAGCCGCCTTGGAAGAAGAGCAACAAGACGATTCCGGTACCACTACTCCCAAGGGCTCTCCCAAAGAGGGCATGCGACAAGTTCCGCAGCCCTCTAACGATGCGACGCATGAAGACGAACGAGCTAGCATCCGTTCTGTACCGCGGGCCCATAGTGATGAGGATGACGAGCCTGGTGTAGAGAACAGCAGTAGCAACAATCATCACAATGGCCCAGGATCTACTATTAATTCCCGTTTATCCACCTTCTTTGGTCTTTTCAAGAGCCAAGATCCGCCCAAAACCCCAGTTCCGACGGCGAAGCAGAAAAGGATGCTGCGGCGAGGACAAACTATGCCTCTTGTCAGCTCCGACATGGCCGCCTCGAGCTCCACTGACGAGTCTGATAGAAAACAGCAGCAGCCGCAGCCAAGCAAGGCTACTACCGGCCATGAGGTTGATGGCTATGGCGATGGCATGTCGGCACCGCCAAAGACGACTTTCTTTGAATCAGCAGGCGATGTGCTCAACCCCAGTATCCCAAGTGAAGAATATCTACTTGACCCATCTAAGCGATCAAGAACTATCTTTCACGACCGAGTATACCATCCCAGTGATATCCCGCCGCCGCCTCCGCCGCCGCCGTTGAGGAAACGCCAGTCGACGTTCGGTCGTCGCAGCAAGAATTCCGCCAAGATTTCGGGCTCGCCGCAACCATCAGAGCCAGGCAGTCGTTCAACATCTCCTCTCCCGCCCAACAATTCGCTGCATGCGGATTCCAAGGAAACCCTCTCGGGCAAAGACCACGGCGACGACACAGTCAAGACCAGCCCCGAGCTCAACCCCTCGGAATCCGTAGACGCTTCCAACATGAGAGTAGAAGAGAAAATTGCCCGAGGCTATCATCGGGATCTGTCGTGGCGCAAAGTGCTAGTCAAATTGGAGCCAGACGCGCATAACAACATGATTGTGAGACGCATGTTTGCCAACGCGCATGGCTGGCCGGTGATCAAACACATGGTCGACGCACACTTTAGCGACTCCGAGACCGCACGCATTCGCGATGAAGAAGAGCCCAACACGGATCGAGCATTTGAAGTCCATCACGGACCAGCCGCCGATGGACGAGAAGTAAGGCCCTTGCACCAGTTGCGCAATGAAGGTGAACGCGCCAGCGGTGGGAGCAGCAAGCGCGGGAGTGGTGGAGAAGTCAGCGAAGCTGGCGAAGAAGCTTTGGACAAGGTGCCTGAGCTGCCCAAGAAGAGCGACAGCGAGAGCATGCCCCTTGGGCGTCCGCGACTGGAAGCCTCAGACCGAGCGGATTCCATGACATGGAGTGACCGAGACTGGGCGGACACCGACAACGAGAGCGACATGGAAGTTAACACTGGGGGAAAGGCTGGACAGCCGCAGCAGTCTCAGCAGTCGCAGCAATCGAAAGCGTCACCAGATGTAGCAGGAACTACGTCCCCAACGCTGAGTCCCTCATCGTGGAAGTGGGCAGCCGAGAAGATTGTGGGCAAAGGAGCCGTGGGGGGTCGGAGCAAAAGTCCACAGTCGTAACGGGGATTTTAGTGAGGGCTTTGCTGGGGCATTCTGTTATCTGTGTGTACATAAAAGTTTGGACGATGGGGCTTGTAAGAGGCGGGTGCGGTGCTGTCTGTATCTGTGTGTATATATTAAGATGGGCGAGAGGGGATTTCCAAGAGGCATGTTTTCACTCATGATGGAGAAGGTATTTTACCTTTTTAATACACTAACTAGATTTACATTCTGAGTGCAATTTTTGCAGTGAGTTTGTGGTCTCTATCGGTATGTTACATGTCTAGTCACAACAATGAATATGTATCGCACCTCGGAACACTTTGGGCGTCAAAATTGACGAACAGAAATAAAGTTCTGTGCCCGACTCGGGCACGACATTTCCATGAGAGAGAGATCTGGTGTACGGAGTACACTGGCACTCATCAGGATTCACTGTTCAGTGTTCGGAATGAGAGCCAAAAAATGATGTAGTCGAGCAAAAGATACGGTTGTGGACGAACAGGGAATCGAACCCTGGACCACTCCCAGTCATCGCGCTGTTAACCCCTGAAGATTAGGCATCTTCGGGTCGCACCATGCTAAGGGAGTATTATACCACTAAACCATTCGCCCGAATTGATGAACGACAATCATGGAATTGCATATTATAAAGGTACAAACACTAAAGTAGGTACATATGTACTCGCATCCTCGATACCTTGATCCACGACTATTCTCCGCCTCATCACTCACTATCCATAGCGCTACATATCCAACGCGGCGTTTCTAGAACCACATAAGCTAAGAAAAACGCAATCTCATCGACTCACGCAATTATGTGCATCGCCTAGGTAATATTTCCCGCGCGGCAAGTAAGTGGGTCCTATCCCGACAAAGTTCAAACGCCGGCAAGTTTGCCGCCAGTGCGCTACAGCCTACAGACGCTCCAAAAGGCGCGCACGTGATGCTGCAGGGCCTCTGGCAAGTACCGTGTACGTCACCACGTCGGCAATAGCGCTGACAGGCTGTGCTGTAAGAATTTACGGTACCTTGCAAGTTGCAACGCAACACTCGACGACGACGAATCCCTTTACTGCTAGCTCTGCTCTTTCTGCCCTTTCTGCGTCCTCATCGAAGCCCACGCTTCACGGCGATACATACTCTCTCTCTGTCGCCGTTCCGCGCCATGGAGCAATAGGTTAGGTACCTAGAATCTGCCCTGCATCTTATCCCTGGCCGTTTCCACTTCGTCGCAGAGCTGCGCCCTTCAGTGCTTCCTCCCAGAACGAGGAAACTAGGACGGCCTCCCATCGCTGCGCCTCCCTCAATCATTCACATCTTTGCGCTTACCCTCTTTGAAAGTTTGAGAGTGAGGAACAAACTGCATGTTTTGCAAGAAAATCCCGATTCTTTGCAACATATCATAAAAGAATCGATCGTTCGTCGTTGGTTCTCGTTCAAGTTGTGTGGGCGCCTCTCCTCCAGCATCACGACTTCATTGTCACGACACGCTTCCACTCTGATAAGCCCAGAACAACAACAAACCCCAAACTCCAAGGGAACTCAATAAACCGAAGTATCATGACAATGCGCCTCTACCTCCTCCCCCTTTCCACACGGCGGAGCCTCCTCTACGCCCAGCGCTTGCACCACGCGACTGCCCCGACTAACACCTCGTACTTCGACCGCGGGGCCGCCTGGGCAGAGCGCACGTGGTCCAACTGGGAGAAGAAAGAGTCAGGATGGCAGAAGAAGGTGGTTGAGTACGGGAACCACGCGTTTCGGCGGATACCCTACGAGGAATGGGGCCTCAAGTCTGTGCCGCTGCTATCGAGCCGAGAGCAGCTGCGGCAGCATGGTGCGAAAAACGGCGAAGAGCAAACGCAGGGCCAGGGCCAGGACCATGTCGAGCTGGTATTTCCGCGGAGTGTCATGTCTGAGGCTCAGGCGGAGGACGCAGTGAGAAGAATGGGCAGCGAGCGGGATGGGCTGCATAGGCGGAGAATGGTATGGTGTATTGTGGGAATGCCCATCACAATTCCCTTTGCGCTTGTGCCAATGTAAGTCCCTTTCATCATATCCCCTTCCACGTCCACCCTTCGGCCTAGGCATAGAGGCGTTTCGCTGGATCGAAAAGGAAAAGAATCGGGGCTCTAACGCAGAAATCGTCATGCAGCATCCCCAACTTGCCCTTCTTCTATCTCGTCTACCGCGCTTGGTCGCACTGGCGCGCCATCGCCGGCGCAAAACATATCCAATTCCTCGTGTCCAAGAAGCTTCTCCGACCGACGGCATCCCCCGTCCTCGACGCCCTATACCGCCAAGCAGGCGCCCAGCAAAAAATACAGGCTCCCACTCCCTCGGATCAGAGTTCTTCAAGCTCTAGTCCTACCTCGCAGGAGACACTGCTCCTGACACAGGCCCAGGTGCGGAGCTTCTCCGAAAAACTGGACGTGCCAGCCCTGGAACTCGAGCTCGAGAGAGCAATCTGGCAAGTCGAGCAGGCCATCGGCAAGAAAATCAAGGAGGAGGGATCAAAGTCCTCGGGAGCGGAAAAAGAAAAGGAGTCATGAAAATATGAATACATGAAGGGTAATGTAACTGGGATCTGTATGATGACGCATGTACGCTTTTCCGAGAAAGAAAGTTTTTGACTATATTCAGTTCATAGAGAGATAATTATATACAATTGAGCGCAGGGGTTTTGCGCGCTTTTTTTTGCGAAAATAAATGGGTACATATAGGTATATATCTTCCCCCGGGTAGCCTCCATCAGGACAGGGCCTCTATGAGTACATTTTTCCACCCCTCAGCATGTCTGCACCGCTGCAAGATTCTCTTTCGGATAATTAGCGGCCCAATTGCACTGGAAGACGAATGACGGATGGCCTGCTGTTGACACTGGGATCTTAGCGGTAGCAGTGTACGCGACGCGCGTGGTATTGGGTCTAAGTGCGAACGTCTCTTGTTCCTTTATTACACCGAGGGGATGGGGAGGGTCGATGTGGATTCACAGTCGCGAACTATTAAGTATGTTTTCCCGATGCTTGTTCAAGCGGGACCTGCCTGCCGAGGATTATTTAGTAAGTTAGATATACATATGTACATATGTATGTCGTAGAGACTAGGGAGTACATGTGTATCTGGGTTTGACCGCAGCAGCCCATGTCCATGAGCGAGGGACGCGATAGGATTTCACAACAACACCCACTGCCGCTTGATACAGAGAAACGCGGTACACTCTTTTCATAGTCCAATTATCTTTGCAAGCTAGTGTGAAAGGAAGGAAGAAACGGATTAAATATATAAGGGTACCCAAATTATGCCCAGCCGGTCATCCTCATACCGCCGATATGCTTAGGAACAAGAAAAGAAAAAGGTAGGATAGAAACATCGAAGCGAGTGACCATGGTCGTCCGTGTCGCCTTGGATCCCTGGATGAATAGGTAATTATGTTGTTGTATACCCAATTGTGGCGCGTGCCATCATTCCTCATTCTGCACGCCAAAGGACAAATAACCTTCGGACTAAACGACAACGCAGAATCATTACCCTAACAGACATGCTTACAGTAGTCACGGCTTGCACTACTCCGAAATAAACGTAGCTTCCATCAAGAGCTGGCCCTCTTCGGTGATTTCTTCATCTCCGATCTTGAGCTTCAGTGTCATCTTTGGTGTGTACTGAAGACCGAAAGAGTTATGTGTCAGTAAGAAGAGTAGCATGGAGGTTTCAGCCGACGACAACGGCAACGACGACTGCCGCATATATGACATACCTGGTAGATATAGGGCTTTGTACCTGCTGCTGCAGCCACAATGGTCTTGACGAAGCCCGGCACTTCTGCCATGACATCAACGCGGTCGCTTCTCTGGCCCAAGCTGCCCTCGATGGTGGCGCTGACTGGCTTGGCATCCTTTTCGGTGCCTTTCCACGCCATCTTGACCGAACTGGGTTCCGGCCACTCGTTCTCCGTATCGTTCTTAACCTCGGCATGAATGATCTCGTGGCCGGCGCCAGCAGTGAGAATCTCGCCATCCTTGGCGATACCACCCACGTTGACCAAGGTGGTGCCGTACGAGGCGGGGGTGGTGAATTCCATCATGATGGCAGAGTAGCTGGGGCCCTGGAAGCAGACGAAATTCCACTTTGCAGCGGCGTGGTGAGGCTTCATTCCCTGTAGCGCAAACGAATACATGGCGCGACCCTTAAAGTCGACAGGGCCATCGGGGGTGGTGATTGTACCCTCGGCGGCGCATCGTGGCCAAAAGACATGCCGAATGCAGCCCCACGGCTTATCAAGGTTGGTGCCGTACTTTGTGGTTCCGGTCTTGCCGGCGACGAAGCCAGGGGCAGTTCTAGTGATCTTGATATTGACGATTGATCTCTCATCGTTCATGCTCTTGATGGTATACTCGTTTCCGTCTTGCGAGAGTTCCAAGACGCAGTCATCGGCAAAACAACCGGTCTGGTCCTCATTGAATCCAAAGTTATTCAGAGGGCTTGAGCACCACAAGTGAGGCTTGGATGCATCTTTGGAGAATATCTTGGAGTTGAACTGGCAGGTGGTCCGCATGCCTCTATTGATCCAAAGGAGAGATGGTGCGGTGGATTAGCTCAGAGTACATCCATGGTAGCCCTGAAGGTGTATCTCAAGAAAGAACAAGACAAGAAGACGCTCCACGCACGCAACGTTACTATAGATGACTTGCACGAGACCAACGTCACCATTTTCCGACACCAGATAAAAGGTCTGAGTCTCGACACAGGTCGAGTCCATGGCCTTCCATTTCAGATCATCGCGGGTAATTTCCGTGTACGGGGTGTCCTTTGCTTCTTCAGCAACGGATTTGATAGCCGACGGGCCATAGATGGGCTCCTGTGTGCCGGCGACGTTGGCCAGCCTGGCGACGGAGAGGTCATGGGTTAGCTGAGATGCGGAGCCATGGGCGCAAGAGCCAGGGTACAAATAGCTGCGCGCTTTTTCCAAACTTACTGTTGCTTTGCCCAGTTGAACATGATGCTGGAGGGGGAAGCGCGTATTTTGCTGCGAAAAGGAGGCAATGGTAGGAGAGAAATATGACAAGACGATCGAAGCAAGTCTGCCGCGATGAGGAAGTGGGATGTGAAAATGCGCAGGGGGCCCCTCACTGGCGGGGACTGGAAGGTGCAACAGAGCAGCACAGTCGCTGCTGCCGCCGCTCTTGCAGCGTCGCCCGGCGCAAGTAGATGTACAGGTAAAAAGTATGTACCTAGGTACATAGTATGGCCGCGGGATGACCTCAGACTCCAGAGCCCTCAGAGGTTTCAGTGGCTCAGACGTTGCTTCATCAGCGCGATCAAGCACGGAGAGGATAAACTTGGGTGGGGCCCACAAACGAGTGGACCTGCCCATCCAAGACGAGATGTCGAGGGCACTTGTTGAATCGTGGTCAGACGCTTCACTCTAGAAAACAACGGCACGCAATCACGGGTCGTAATTCGTAACATACTCCTTGCGCAATTTATCCTCTATTACACCACTTACAAAGGATTTCTTACCTTTTTCCTAGATCATCTGCTCCCGAAGACCCGGAGGGTTCGATCACGCGCTGTCAGACCACTCCTTTCTCGCGAACGAGCCTCGCTCTCCT